GGGGCTGCAGTGAGGGCGCCATTTTAAAAAGCTTTTTAAAAGAATTCTTTACAACAGTCATACATGAATTAGGGCGTGTCAGTTCAAGAGAGTTCAAGAACAAGTTTGCTTACATGGACAGAGGATTGGATTGATACGTCTGGATTTTGAGGAGGGGGCGGTGCTGGAGAGAACTAATGTGCTGCCCCAGCCAGCGTTTTAAACTGTAGTTAAGTAGAACTGCCATATACATATTTTGTAATCTAATTCAGTTCACTGGCTCATGGTGAAAAGGATTGCGCATTCCCACCTCCTTGCCGTTCAAAGAGAACAAAGGCCACAGGAAGAGAGGAAGAGAGCTGTAAAACTCGAATCCTCGCACGTCTGTGTGCCGGATGCTGTGGGATGTCTAACTAAAGACTTCAATTCCCAGGGAGCACTGCTCTTAAAGATATAGGGCAGTTCTACTTAACTACAGTTTAAAACGCTGGCTGGGGCAGCACAACTAAGGATGTCTCATAAACAGTAATCTTTTGAATGTGCTGTGGCAAAAGTGCCTCACAAATACATAGAGGAAACTTTTAAAGGGGCATTTACAAAGTTGTGTTTTCGGCTGTTCCACATACTCCAGAAAAGGCAGGGGGTGCCATTTTTAATACTCCTCAATGCATGAAAAAAGCTCACTATATTTTAAAAAAACATATTGAGATCATTTCTAACCCAGTCAACTTACTGCTGTGCCAGTTTTCTACTGACAGCAAACGTTTTAATATAGAAGAACATTCAAAAACATGTGTGTCCCCCAGCGCCATCTGACATGGTACTATCCATTTTACCACCTCCTTGTCTACATCAATGGGAACACATCTTTCCTATTCTAAACTGTCAGCTGGGTGCTGGTTGTGTGACCTTTGAAACCATTTATGGCTTGGGACAAACATATTTCAAGGAACACCCCTGCCCACATCTTGATATGCATCAATTATGGACTTCTAGCCATCACCTACTAATCTGCCGTGATCTATGCAAGTGTAAAATATCCAGGGCTATTTTGGGACAGGAACTCACAGGAACGGAGTTCCGGCAAGAAGTGAGGAATGACTGTTGTAGATGTGGCCATTGAGGGTGGGTGGGATGTGTTAATGGGGCTTTATGATATCATGCAGGTTTCTGATTTACAATTGAAAGCCACCTTGAGCCGCAGGGCATAAATATTTTAATCGATAAATAAATATGTAGAGCTGGCATCCAAGACAAGAGCTAAAGAAACACAGTGACCTTCTTATCCATAATCTTCTTCTCTCTTTTCCCCCTCACAGCCTCAGTCCAGGTCCCCTGGGAAAGAGCAATTTCTCCCAATAAAGTCCCATACTACATCAAGTGAGTGTCCAGCTGCAACAGAAAGCCTTACAGTCGATCATGCCCATTCTTATTGTTAACAATCTTGAATTTTCTTGCCCTTTTTGTCCACCTTCAGAATCCAAAGGTTTTTTTCTTCCTTTTGCACCCAGTAAGATTTGTAAGTCCTCCATGATGTACTATATGAGTTCAGAACCCCCAGGGGCATGACAGGCCCTCACTATTACTTGAGCCCATATGCGACTTTATTTCAAGGGCCCCCAACCTTATTGAACCTGCTGGCGTCTTTGGAATTCCAGAGTGGTGGGTGCAAATTTAAAATGGCTGCCATGGGGGGGGGCGCTAACCACAAGACGTTAGGAAGTGAAGTTATGCATAAGTCTACTAGTAACTCTACAAAATTTCAGGCAGAAGTTCTGCTTAACTGGACACCTTTTATAATGAAACATATAGTTAAAGAATATTTTCTCGCCTACACACAGTTTACCTCCAGTCACAGAATGAAGATCCTTGTGCTGTGGTGGCGGCTGCTGCCAAAGTATTTTCTTTTTAAGTCTGCACAACCAATCAGAACTCCAGTGGTCAATCAGAAGCCTTGCTGGGCAAAAGCCCCACCTGCTCCCCCCGTCTTCTAAGAACACTTGGTTGGCACCAGGAAAGGTGTTGGTGGGTGTCGTGGTGCCCACAGGTGCCCTGTTGGGGATGGGGACCCCTTCTGTTTTTCGTAGATGGTATTGAACCTCTGTCAAGATTACCTTTATGGTTGAAGCATCTTCAGGGTGCCATGGTTTCTACCATCAACCCCAAATGCTCATCCTGCCCCACTTTCCACCCGCTCATGGATTTCACAGAATATTCCCATCCCTCCGTATCTCACAAGATGTGCACACAAATACATAGCATCATAGAGTTGGCGGGGGCCTCCAGGCCTCTAAGCTGTGGAGTCCTGTGAGCAACAATTCTACTTTGTGAGCTACTGGCATCAAAGTCGTGAGCGAGTGATTTGGCTGCTGTGTAAATTAGTTTGCTCTGGAGCCGTCCTTCCTGAGCTAAGAAAAAAACACGTGAGCTGGAGGCTAAAAAAAGTGTGAGCTAGCTCACACTAACTCAGCTTAGAGGGAACACTGCTCCAAGGTCATCTAGTCTAACCCCCTGCACAATGCAGGGAATTTACAAATACCTCCCCCCACACCCCCAGTGACCCCTGTTCCATGTCCAGAGGAGGGCAAAAAAACTCCAGGATCACTGGGGGCCAAACTGGCCTGGAGAAAAATGGCTTCCTGACCCCAAAGTGGTGCTCAGCATTTCCCTGGGCGTGTAAGAAAGGGCCACAAGAACTAAGCACTGAGGCAACCCTTCCTGCCCTCGCTCTCATGATCTGCCGTGATCTATGCAAGTGTAAAATATGCAGGGCTATTTTGGGGCAGGAACTCACAGGAACGGAGTTCCGGCTGGCTCCTGAGTTGGCCACGCCCAGCAGGAACTCATTAGCATAATAGGCCACACCCAAAAGCAGAAACTCATTAGGATTGGCTACAGTGGTATATGGCCTAACATGCAAAGGAGTTCCTGCTACAAAAAAAGCCCTGGGTTTTGACAACAAACAAGGTAAACAGAATAAGAAGCAAAAGGTCGGTGTGGCTGGATGTCTTCTGCTGTTGGGTGTGGCCTATTATGCTAACGAGTTCCTGCTGGTCTTTTTCTATAAAAAAAGCCCTGAAAATATCTCTGTGATTGTAAGTGTTGTCTATGCAGCCATCAGTTGCTTAACTCCCCACTGTCCACCTTGGTTCCCTTTTCAGCCACCAGGCACAGACAACATGCTGGGACCATCCCAAGATGACAGAGCTGTACCAAACATTGGGTAAGAAGAACCTGGCCTTTTACGGATCTTATTACGGCACAGCCGGCACAATAGAACAGAATCTTCTTGACGGAGAGACTGAAGCTGCTGTGCTGGATATGAAGGAGTCTTTGGTGTCTGCTGTTCTTCCTTGCTTTGGGGAAGGAAGGGGAGACGCACACACACTCGTGCATATAGAGGAACATACCCATCAGCCCTACTCACACTCCCTGCCCTGTAATGTTCAGTTTGGTGTAGTGCTTAGGAGCGTGGTCTCTAATCTGGGAGAGCCGGGTTTGATTCCCCACTCCTCCACATGTAGCTGCTGGTGTGACCTTGGGTCAGTTAAAAGTTCTTTCAGAGCTGTTCTCTCAAGGGCGGTCCTTGAAAGAGCTCTCTCAGCCCCACCTACCTCACAGGGTGTCTTGTTGTGGGGAGGGGAAGGGAGGGGAAGGGAAAGCCGTTCTGAGACTTCTTCGGGTAGTGAAGGGCAGGGTATAAACCCAATCTCCTCCTCCTCCTCCTCCTCTTCTTCTGCTATGTACTGTTGTGAGGGAATGTTGAACCCTACACTCCTTCCTTCCCTCACTAGTGAGTCTAAATGACCTGGGACCCACCAAAGGGAAGGTGGTCCGTCATCTGAGTGGTGAACTGCACAATAAACCTAATTTTACTTTACTACCTAGGACAAAAAAAACACCCCTATTTGCACAAACATATGTGCATTCCTGTGCATGCGTGCACACACAGACAGGTTTTTAGTCCTAGAGAGTTAGCAAAATGCAGCTTATTCTGTGTACAAGCTTTCATGCAAACACACATACAGAGATAAGATGTGCAGGCTTCCTACACACGGGTGATGGTCCACATTTGGCTTGGATGATGACAGTGGGTAAGTTTCTACAGAGGATGCAAACTCTGTGGTTCCATTTCTCTCTCATATGCTTCCCCCCCCCCCAGCGGATCTGAACAACATCAAGTTCTCTGCTTATCGTACAGCCATGAAGTTGCGTCGTGTGCAGAAAGCTCTGAGACGTAAGTCCCGGTTTCCCTTCTTCTATACCTTTTGAACAGTTGCATTCTGTTCCTTGGCTGGAATATGGGCCAGTTGGCACCATCTCTAAACTGGAAAGACTGTGGACATGGTGGAGCAGCACAATCTGTGCAAAAGCAAGACAACCACACCAGTACCCAGGGGGAAACAAACAAAACCAAACCACAAAAGTGAGTATCCAAAGGTGCTGTAGGAAATCAGGTTATCTTTCAAATTCTCCTGACCATGTAAGGCGTTTTCCAGACTGAAGCTGCATTTCGGGTTTTTGTCAGTATCATGGCGGTTCCGATTATCATACTATTGGTATGATCAGTTCACACTGATACATTTACTTTGTTCTTTCCCCGTCAGTCTTCTGTCTGTTCAGATGCACATTCAAGGATTGTTTTTCTACTTTTTCGGGGGGGGGGGTGTTTGCACATGCACTGAAGCCTTGCAGCGCTGCAGCAGCCTCAAAGAGACCCCACGGACTCTGTTTCCTTTGAATGCACTTCAAGAAGCTTTGGATTCCCCCTTCCCCTCAGAAGCGGGTTCCCTTTCCCCCCGTGCGTCCAAAGATATTCTGCCTCCCCTTCCCCGGCCTGTTGGTATTTTTGAAAATGAACTGCATAGGAAGCCCTTCCATCCCACTAGCTCCAAGTTCAGCATAAATGTGAACACCTTTCCTATGAAGACAGGTTAAAGCACTTGGGGCTCTTTAGCTTGGAGAAACGATGGCTGAGGGGTGACATGATCAAGGTTTATAAGATTATGCATGGGATAGAGCAGGTAGAGGAAGAAGTACTTTTCTCCCTTTCTCACAATACAAGAACTCGTGGGCACTCCATGAAATTGCTGAGCAGTAGGGTTAGAACAGATAAAAGGAAGTACTTCTTCACCCAAAGAGTGATTAACACATGGAATTCACTGCCACAGGAGGTGGTGGCAGCTACAAGCATGGACAGCTTCAAGAGGGAATTAGATAAGCATATGGAGCAGAAGTCCATCAGTGGCTACTATCCACAAGGTATAGATAGGAACTCTCAGGTTGGGGCAAGTGATGCACTGTATTCTTGGTGCTTGGGGGGAGGGGGCAACAGTGGGAGGGCTTCTAGTGTCCTGGCCCCACTGGTGGACCTCCTGGTAGCACCTGGTATTTTTGGCCTTGGCCACTGTGTGACAGAGAGTTGGACTGGATGGGCCATTGGCTTCTCTTATGTTCTTATGAACATGGCTTTGAAGGGTTTTTTGGCTAGAGAACTGTCAGGATCTGTGAAATTAATACCACGGGTTTCCGTGAGAATGAACTGAGCCACATAGCCTGGTGTGCCTTTTAATCTGACCCTACCCCTCCAAACCATCTGTGCTACATGTATCCTCTGTCAGATTTACCGGATCTTGCCAAGAAAGATTAAAGAGTGTGCTTGATACCAAAATGTATCTGGAAATGGTGCCCAAGGACATCCTAGAGTTTGCTGTTGAGTTTGAATGGAAGAATGGTGAGGAGGGCACTGATTGGTTGCTGGTGTCAGGCCTCTCAGTGGGAATGACTGTCTGATTCAGCTCTGGAACGTTTTGGCACAGGCATGCAAATTTTTAAAAAGCTTTTGGGGCAGGTTTGGACGGCAATCCTTGAGGTGGAGAAAAATGTTCAGATTCTGAGGAAGAGGCTATCTTGCAAATGTATTTTGCAATGAGAAAGAAAAGAGAAAAACTAGTTTTAAAAATAATGGGGGTGGGGGAAATGAGGGAAAACTGGAACAGCCCTGGGAAGTTACTGAAGTTGTCTGGATACAAGAAAAAAACAACCTGGTAACATCGGGGAATAAAAATGGAATGTTAAGGCAGTCTGGAAAATGCCTCACTCTTTGTTAAGAGTATTTTTCTACCATACCTTCCATAAAAGATAAGCTTTCTTCCTTTTCCTTCTTTCTTGGCACAGACAGAAAATCTTATCTGCTCGTACACTTGGTTTCTGCCGTTCTTTGGCTTGAAAGGAGGGTGGCAGAATCCAGAAACCTGGTATATTTTGCATAGGGATGTACATTCATACGCTTTCCTCACATGTTACGTAATGCACAGGTCAGGGGCTACCTCACCATGTGTACAATATTTCTGGTTCAGAAATGACATGAAGTAAATTCAGCCCTAAATTCCTCTGGCTATTGGATGGGGGTTTGTACAGGGTAGTGGACGAGTGGGGGAGGGACTCTGCAGTTTCCTGGCACCGACAAAACCCATTCTCCTAGTCACTTGCAAGTCAACCCAGAAGTGGCTCGGGATATCTCCTGTAGTTGCTAGGCAACCACAGTGTCCTCCTCCCCAGGGCTCGTGTAAAAGCCAACTGGAGGCTTACAGCACAAACTAGAACTAATTTCCCAGTGCAAGATGTACCTCTTAATCTGATAGTTTCAGGTGGATAGCCGTGTTAGTCTGTAGCGGCAGAATGAAATTCAAGGTCAGTAGCACCTTTTGGACCAACATTCCCTAGGGTATAAGCTTTCATTATGAAGTGAGCTTTGACTCATGGAAGCTTATTCCCTGAAAAATTTTGTTGGTTTCAAAGGTGCTACTGGAATCAAATTTTGCTCTTAATTTCATGGTACCAAAAATGTGAGTTTTGCCCTACATTGTTTTCAGAACTGTTTGTCAGAATTAAATGCCTGTTATCTTGTCCCCGTTTGTCACAGGAGCTTGAAAAACCTCCTCTGTTCTTGCAACTGCTCTGTAATGGTTTGTTTTCTCTTGCCTGTCTCTTCCAATGGTTTGGGCTCTCTTTGACTCTGACCCGCTTCCCAGTGGACATGGTGACCCTGCCGACTGCCCTAGAGGTCTTCAATGAACACGAGCTGCAGTCTGGCGACCATGTGATGGATGTAGTCGAGGTGATCCACTGCCTGACTGCCCTCTACGAGCGGCTGGAGGAGGAGCGGGGCATCCTAGTGAACGTCCCCCTCTGTGTGGACATGACCCTCAACTGGCTGCTCAATGTCTTTGACAGGTAGAGTCCATAAGCCAGCGTGGTGTAGAGGTTAGAGATTCAGACTAGGATCTCAGAGACCCAGATTTGAATCTCCACCCTGCCATGAAAGTTCACTAGGTGACCTTGGGCCAATCACGCACTCCAGCATAACCCACCTCCTAGGGTCGTTGTGAGGGTAAAATGGAGAAGAGGAGAATAACGAAAGCCTCTTTGGTTCTGTTGGTGAGAAAGGCAGAAGTAAGTAAATAAATAAGAAGGGTCGTACTACACCAGAACAAACGACCATCTGTTGCAGCACTCTGTTTCCATAATAATATATTTTTATTTTTTAATAACAATATAGAGGGGTACAGAAAGAAAGGAGTTATGAAACAATTTATAGTTATCAAGGTTATTGTACTTAACAAAATATATTAAACAAGGAAGTCGAGAAATACTTTTTTTGACAACTTCTGGGCATAGAGCAGGGGTCATTCGGGGGGTGGGGTGAGGGGAGAGATTTGTGAATTATCTGCATTGTGCAGGGGGTTGGATTAGACGACCCTGAACTTAAATTTCCTCGACTCAAACACTGTGAAAATCCAGAGTGGCAGGCAAATGTAGAAAGGATCGAGGGGATTTAAGTCCATGGTAAAAAAGCATCCCAAAACCCGGGGCAACAGGAGGCTGAAACCGGGCTGACCACTGAAGGGAGGTAACGTAATGCAGAACTGGGGGGGGGGGACAGAATAAAATGGAGGCTGAATTTGGTTTTAGTGCCGAATTGCTTGGAGGACATTGCGGTGAGCATGGGTTAAAAGGCATGTGCAGAAAGGGCCTAAATGTATGAAGCTCGTGGCAGGCTGCTTGCGTGGGTATTGGGCTTGGATCACTAGTTGTGTGGCCTGGTCTAGGACCTGATTAGATTCTACATGCAACTTGTGAAGGAAACCCTTACAGAGCCTCCTTGGCTGGGCACAGACGGAGTGTTTGCAAACCAATCAGCCAATTATTTTTTTCACCTCTTATTTTCCAGCGGACGCAGCGGGAAGATGCGGGCGCTCTCCTTCAAGACAGGCGTAGCGTGTCTGTGTGGCACGGAAGTGAAGGAAAAATTCCAGTGTGAGTCACCCAAGAGGGAAGATGGGGATTGCTTGGCTCACAAAACAGGAGTGGGAGGCTTCTAGATTTAGCAAGGGGGAGGGACTGCAGCTGTGGTGCGACTCACAGGTCTACGTCACTCATCCCCTCCAGGATTTCTCAGATGGAACTAGGAACACCCTTGTATCCTGGTGACACCCCTGCTCTTTTTTACCATGTGTGAACCAACACAGAGTTTAAAACAAATGGCAAATTCCAACACTCCACTGCTCCGGATTGAATTCCCTCCCCTGTTCTCTTTGGCTTACTCGCTTTGAATTATAATGAATGCATTTCTTTCCTTCGCTGGAGGATTACACTGCCTGTAAAATGTGTCAAAGTCACATAAGGGTTTCCTGGATTAAAAAAAAGATTATCTTTTCCCACTTTGTTGTGTTTTTACAGAGAGCAGTTGTAAGTTTTCCTGCTGTGAAGCTAACTCTGCTTTCTCCCACATCTTTGCTCCTCTACTGACACACATATACAGTGCTTTTTTGGTGTTGGGTTTTAAAAATTCCTGTACTCGTATATAACATTGCACTGAATTCCACCAGTTCCTCTCTTGGGACTTGGGAGGGGTCCCAAAAAGATGCTGGTACTCTACCAGTGATAACTGCCACAGATCAGGAAAGTTGTGTGTGTGTGTGTGTGTGTGTGAATCCAGCATGGACTTTGGCCCCCTCCCCATTTTTTGGGATGCCTTTTTAAAAAAAAAAAAAATCAGGCACCTGACGAGTTTATGCAAGCAGGTGTTCACCAGACTTCCTGAAAAAAGAAAAGCCAATCCATTTTTTGGTTGTTTTTTTTCATTGGCCCATGGCTGGGAAGGAAGTTGGCTGTTATTGCTACAACGCCCAACCAATCAGCACTCGGCACAATCAACTTGTTCCAGAAACAGACAGAAGTTGAACCGATTGCTCCCAACATCCATTTAGTCTGGAAGTTTGTACATCTGTCCACAACGATCTGATGTTCCACAGCAATGGTTAAGAACGATACTTTGCTTCTTACACAATTTGAGTATTCCCACGGATGTTTGTCTTCCTCCTCTAAGTCGAAGGCTGCCATTTGAGCATATCTCTCTCTGTCTCTCTCCCTCCCTCTCCTTTTCCTTTTTCATGGTTTCCTCCTGCCATTCAGACCTTTTCAGCCAAATGGCGAATGCCAACGGATTGTGTGATCAGCGGCATCTTGGTCTCTTGCTCCACGAAGCCATCCAGGTTCCACGGCAGCTGGGGGAGGTGGCTGCCTTTGGAGGGAGCAACGTGGAGCCCAGCGTCCGCAGCTGTTTCCGCTTTGTAAGTGCCGTTGGGTGGATACTTCAGCCACCTTGACGCTCCTGAAAGAATCCTTTGGTGAAAAGCACTGTGGATGGCGCCATGTTGGAAATGTGAGGCAGGCTGCATTGTTTCATGGGTGCCGTTCATCCCTTTTAGCAGTGGCGTGAGAGCGGCTTACCCATAGCTTCATCCCATTGATCTTTCTTTGAAAGACCTGTCTGCAGAAGGGCCTAGAGATGTGAAGGCCCGGGAAAAAAATGGAAAAATTCAGGAAAAAACCCGTTTTTTTTCCGTTTTTTTCCTGAAGCCTTTTTTGTTTTTTTCCGAAAAATTGGAAAAATTGAAAAAAGAAAAGAAAAGAAAAAAATTGATTATGGAACTTTTTATTTTAACATGATGAATAAAATATTTTAAGACCAGGTGTTCAAATATTTTCCAAATCATTTCTAAAATATATATATATGGTATCAGATTGATGTAATTTCTGTGCACTGAGGACAAGCAAGTCCTAGGTTACAAACTGAACTCTCCAATGCAAGAACAAGATGCATTTCTTCCTTTATGAGGTGCTATTGTCACAAGGAAAGAAAAAGGTTTCAGTTTTGTTTTTGCATGTGGGTGGGTATTCTGTTTGTAATAATTGTTTGGATACACTATATTTCTAATATGCTAGTTGTGATAATTTCATGCCAGGTAAAAATGTCCATAGTCATATTTTATGTTCCTAAAGTAACAGAATAACTTTCAAACTAGAAAAGACAAAAGAAATGCTAATGTAGCATGTTTTTTCAATTTTTCCGAAAATTTCCGTTTCCCCCCGGAAAAAAACGGTTTTTTTTCCGAGCTTCAAAATTTCCGGAAATTTTACCTCTCTAGGGCAGACCACAGTCGTCACTGGCCAAGCTTAAGGGCAGCACTCAAGAGGGAAGGACCCGTGTGACCCAGTCCCGCTCGCGTGGTGCCAGACTTTGAAAGGTTAAAGAAAATAAAAGTTCAGTGGCAGCTTAAAGTCTTAGAACATTAATTTCAGTAGGAACTTTTGTGCCCTGACCTGGATAGACCAGGCAAGACCGATCTCGTCGGATCTTGGAAGCTAAGCAGGGCTGACCCTGGCAAGTATTCGGAAGGGCAGCCTCCAAGGAATACCAGGGCTGGGACGCAAAGGCAAGCAACATCAAAACACCTCTCTGAAATGTCCTAGCTAGCCCCGCTAGGGGTCACCAGAAGTCACCATGACTTCCAGGCATGCAAGCACACGCACACACACACTCACTCACAAAATACTACACAAAAAGAACTTTCATGAGTCAGAGGTCACTTCTTCAGATATTCTGAAACAAACTCATTTTGGGAATACTTATAAGGAAAAGGTCCTGCCAACCTAGCAGTTCGAAAGCAAGAAATTGCAAGTAGATAAATAGGTACCACTTCAGTGGGAAGGTAACAGCGTTCCGTGCGCCTTGGTGTTTAGTCATGCCGGCCACATGACCACGGAAACCGTCTTCGGACAGCGCTGGCTCTTCGGCTTTGAAACGGAGATGAGCACCGCAACCCTAGAGTCGGATTCGACTGGCTTTCGAGCAAGGGAAACCTTTACCTATAAGGAAAAGGGGAGAGAAGCAGCAGTTGCGGTAGAAAGAGATTTGGTGTGAATCCTGTCATAGATCTTTCAAGTGTAATTCTCCGTCTAAGGAATTGAAATGGAATTAGAGTTAGTAGAAAAGGGAGATGGTCCATGGGGTCGCGAAGAGTCGGACTCGACTGTGCGACTGAACAACAACAACAACAACAACAAGAAAAGGGCAAGAGTCTAGTAGCACCATAAAGACTAACGAAATATGTGGCAGGGTAGGAGCCTTCATGAGTCACGGCTCACTTCTTCAGATACAGCTAGAACGGGAGTCCATCTGTCCTATTTGCTGGAAAGTGGAGTGATATCAGATGCCGAATGACATTAGCAGGCGAATGACAATAGCAGGTGAATGACAATAGCAGGCGTGTTTGGATTTAGGTGAGATATGCAGAGGGGTAATAGGCATGGAGAAATCAGCATTGTTAATGAAACAGGAAACCCAGGTCTCTATTCAGTCCATTAGAATTAGAGTTGTTATACATAATGGATTATGGGAGAGGTCAGAGCTTGCAACCTTTCTTGGGGTACTTGACACTGACAGAGTTCCTTACACAGAGAACTACACTTAAATGCTAAAGTCATTTTAATAAAATAAAACAGTCTTTAAGCCGGGAAAAGGCCGTTGTCAAGGAGGGATACAAGAGGAACAGCCCTGCATCCCATTATCTGAGACCGTGATTAACTCCTGCCTTTTTTCTCTAGAGTAATGGAAAACCAGCCATCGAGGTTGCCCAGTTCCTGGAGTGGGCTAACCTTGAGCCACAGTCAATGGTGTGGCTGGCCGTTCTACACCGTGTGACCATCGCCGAGCAAGTGAAACATCAGACCAAGTGCTCCGTTTGCCGGCAATGCCCAATCAAAGGCTTCAGGTATGGAAGGTGCGACGCGGAACAGAGCTGGAGATTGGGGCTACAACCTACAAAGAAAATATTTTTAAAATGCTATATAGGTGGCATTGGTCACCGGACAAAGTAGCAAAATGTTATAAGAACGTGTCAGGGAACTGTTGGAGATGCAAGAAAGAGTAGTTGTAATTCCAGGAGGTATCCAGCCACCACCTGGAGACTGGCAACCCCGGTCAACAGAGAGGGGGTTTCAATATGGACTTCCCCTCAAAGCCACTGCAAAGAACCCTCCTTCAGCTGGATCAAAGTGGGCTTCATTTTGATCCAGTTGGAAGGGAAAAGCCCAGGGAGTGCCATGAGTCATACTCAGAATGAATATAATGTCATGTAGACATCCCTCTCAAATGCAAGGGCTTCCTGGTCTCTTCGCAGGGAATAATCCTATGTGGATGTGGACTAAGAGATGGAGCTGTGAATCAGGAAATCCCCCAATCTGAATCTCACCTACATCTCAGCTTCACTTAGGTAGCTTTAAGCCAGGCTTTTCAATAGGAGCCGCCACCACTAGTGTACTACCATCGCACTAGTTTACCATCTATCCCCCATATATGGACATCAGGATGGGGGCACGCACATCTAGGCCCTATAATCGCTGCACTATGGGTGAGAACGGGACGGTTAGGGAGCAGCCATCTTGCTTTTAGAAATTGTAATTTGGAGATTGGGAATTAGCTGAGAGGAGTATCAAAATCTGTTTTAATGGAGTTGTAATTTAATATTTTGTATTGTTTTTACTGTTTTATTCGGCAAGATGCCCCCTGTAAGCCGCCCTGAGCGTCCGGGGAGGGCGGGATAGAAATATGAATAATAAATAAATAATAAATAAGCCAGCCGTCCTGCCTCAGCCTCCATACCTCTTGCTACAGGAGTTTAACAATACTGATGTACCTTGCAGAATCACTGTAAGGATTAAATATTCATGATTAAATATCTCATGATTAAATATTGTTTAGATATATGACTGGAGTGCTTCTAGAAAGCTAGAGCATCAAAGCAACAAAGATGTTTGAAAACATGTATGTCTTACAGCGGGGTCCTCCAAAGTAGTGCCTGTGGGTGCTGTAGATCCCTCCCCCCACCAAGTACTTCCCTTGGTGCACATCAAGCTTTTCAGAAAGTGGGTGGGGCCATTGTAAGGCAGGGCTTTTTATTGGCTGCCTTCATTCAGATGAAAGGGGTTTCCACTGGAGGATCAGAAGAACTGGTAAGCATCTGGGCTTTTCATAATCCATGTGGTTCCACTCCATCTTCAGGCTTTCCTTCTTTCCATAAGGTGCAATGCGGGAGGTATTCCATTTGGTTCTGCCTGTTTTGGGAAGCATTTTTGGAGGTGGTGCTCACCAGCACTGCCTCTCAGAATTCCAAATGTGCCCACAGACCATAAAAGGAGGGACCCCTGTCTTACAGGTACAGCTGCCTGTCGAGTGCACGCTCAACTTTCAAACCTGGATTTTCTGCTTCATAATGGGCAAAAAAAAAAGCACTTGTGCACCAAAAAGCCTCGAGTGTGCCCTGTTGGTAGACAGGAAAATGTGAAGGGAGCTGGTAACAGGGATGTAGGGCCAGGGAGAGGTTTGTACACAGTATACCAGAAAAAAAGCATTGCATACAAACCAGAAATAGAGAATCTTGCCCAAAATCAATGAGGTGTGGACGTTTCCTGAATGCCAACTTTACACAGTCAGCAGAATCAAGATGCGGGTGGTGACAGGGCTGCGTATATCAAATGCTCTCCTATCAAAGGAAAATGAATCTTGCACAGAAAAAACTATCATACCAGGGGGAAAGCTGGTCTAGGATCTTTCTCCCTGGCATGGCAGTCTTCTTCGTAAATAATGTTTATTAGTATAACCCTTTTCCCCCCTTTCTGTGGCCCCGGTCACACGGGCTGGATAACGCGGGGGGGAGGCGTGCCTATTTGAGCCGTCGCAGTTTGATCCGCGATTATGTGTTCAGACGCGATGGAGGCTTCCTCCTTTGACACCCACGGCAAACAGGACGACAGGGGAGAAAGCTGCGTGCCGGCGCGATCATACTGGGGGAATCCGCATGCAACCCGTGGCAAACCATTTGCTAGTAGATTGTCCCCAGGGCCGGCCCCAGGTATTTCTGTGCCCTAGGCGAGGCCAGCTTGTGGCGCCCCCAGGCGATGCCAACCTCCCGGTGGGGCCTGAAAACCTCCCAGAAACACGCTCGGGAGGGGGGGCACTGGGTGCCACAAGTTAGCCTCGCCCCTGCCTCCATGCAGGAATCGACAGCCTCCCCCCCCTGCCAGCCTGTATTTCCTTTATACTGTTTCTTTGTCTTTTCATATATTCACTCCGTGTGTGTGTGATGCTTGTTAGTGGAGGGACCATTCCAAATACCTTCTCCTACACTGTGAAGTGGTACTGCCCAGCAAAGTCACTCAATCCCGCTGATGGTGTCAGCCAGCCCTGATTATTATCCGGTTCTTCCAGATACCGAAGCCTAAAACAATTCAACGTGGACATCTGTCAGACCTGTTTCTTGACGGGACGAGCCAGTAAAGGCAACAAGCTGCATTATCCCATTATGGAGTACTACACCCCGGTAAGAAAAGTGATGTATGTAGGGGTGGAGCCTGGGAAGAACGGCTTACAAAAAGAGATTTGTCCAGCAGCAGCATCCTGAGATGTTTCAAGCGGAAGGCTGTAAATCTGCTGCATAGGCCAAGGTGCAGATTTGCAGCACCACTAAGCCTATCCCATTTTTTTTTAAGTATTAGACATTAATAGAAGATTGCTCTCTTAAGGACTACTAATTACAAAAACTGAAGAGACTCAGAGCCTCCCTGAAAACCAGATGCTGAGGATAAATAACTGGGAAGGAATATGACAGGGGTCTGTTGCCTTCATTCCTTGCTTGCGGGCTTCCCGCCTGGCTGGCCACAACAGAAAACAGGATGCTGGGGAGGATGGCTCTGTGGCCTCTACTCTGCAGGGCTCCTCCTATGTAATCCTTGCTCCCTTCTCTGTTTCTCTGCAGACCACATCTAGTGAGAACATGAGAGACTTTGCCACCACTCTGAAAAACAAGTTCCGGACAAAGCAGTATTTCAGCAAACACCCCCAGAGAGGCTATCTGCCAGTCCAATCAGTGCTGGAAGCAGACTTTATTGAAACGTGAGTGTGGATCTAGTGGTGGACACATTATGCACACGATCGTGGGTATCTTAGCAATACCTGCATGCTGCACCTTAGCACCTCAAACGGAACACTTCTGCTGTGCCTGCAGTGCGGAGGATTAATCAGGCCAGGGGGAGCCAGGAAAAGGCATGTCTTTTAAAAGTATATTTTTTCCCCTTTACAATGGTAATAACATAGCAGACAGCCCAGTTCTGAATAGCAAAACTGAGTGGAGGTTGAAGAGTTAAATTCTTTTGCTTCCTTGTATGATCCCAAGGCAAATGGAGGCTGCAGGAACCTGTGGTTTGTGTTGCATAGATGACTAGGAGCAAGGTTCGTTGTAGGACCAAGACAACGGGCGCTAGAAGGACGTGAGAGCTCCCTGCAGCTCCGGCCTGCCGCGCCGACAGGACCCCATGGCGGGGGCACAGGCCGTGACGGTGTCCCAGTGTGGGCGCGGGCAGCAGCCTCTGGACTGACACCACCACAGGCCGCCCTGGTGGCATGGCGCTGGCGGCCGGGTCGCACATCGTTCCTGGGCTGTGGGGGCCAGCGCAGCGGGAGGAGTGGCCGCGGCAGGAGGGCCCTCTGCTCGATGTGGGGGTTGGTCCGCACGCCATCTGCAAAGGGAATGAGGGCCGGCACAGCACTGGCGACAATGGTCCCCATCTCCTCCCCCCACTGCAGACTCCAGGGTGGAGGGGTGACAGAAGTGGCCACCACTGCCTCCGTGTCCAGCCGGGTGGTGGAATCCCGTGGGATGCCTCCACTGCCGTCAGCCCAGTGGCAGGGCATCCAGGCAAGTGGAGTTGGTGTCACCCGACGATGAAAGGCGAGAGGGCAGCAGGATTGGGGTTGGACGCATGCGGCCGCCGAAGCATCTATCACACCCCGCGGCTCCCCACAGACTGAGGGCGAGAGGCTGCCCGGCAGGTCTGCAGACAGGACTGAGGGGACGGAGGGAGGCAATGCGGCCAAAGGATTGGCCCCCCTCCTGAATGACAGGCCAGGATCCCAAAGGCTGGGGAGGCATGTGGAACGTCTCACACGAAAACTCTTTTATATATAAGGAGAGATAGAAATGAATGCCAGATTGAGCAACTGGTCCCTCCCACTAGCTCTCCAAGCCTGTCCTCTCCTCTCCCCTTTCCACAACCCTTTCCCATTTTTCTTCTTTTTTTGCTCACAGACGTTGCTTGCACTGTTTTCCACGTTTCTTTTTGCACATGCGCCCCTGTTTCATAGATTTGGCTGCCATCTGCCACAACTGTGAGCCACACACAGTTCATTGAGGCAGCAGGTAGCCCTCTGCACTTCTCCCTCCAGAGCAGCTGGTCACCCCACAGCTGCAGAGAATTTAAGACTTAAATGCCTCCTGACTTCTACATCTCTCTTCCAGACCTGCTTCCTCTCCAATGCTGCCCCATGCCGACACCCACTCTCGGATTGAGCACTTTGCTAGCAGGTACCATCCGGCAGCTGTAAGAAAGGGGCTGGGTGTTGGGTAGAAGTTTGGGATGTTGAACAAGGGAATACATGTGCACATTATGTTATGTGCCACTAAGGAGCTTCTTCAGCATGCATACAGTATTTCTGGTTCAGAGTGTGTATGACTCAGACCTTTGCGTTTCTATTGATTACCAAATGATCTTTTGGAGTATATGGAAGGCAGTGCAGAGAGAAAGAAATAGGCTGCAGCTTCTTGGGAGTCCCAGAATGCTCTGTTCTACAGGTCAACCCAGAAGTGACGAGGAACATCTGTAGATGCTAGGCAACCACGGTGCTGTTTTTTATTTTGCTTTTGCCCATCCCTGGCTGCGGTCAGACGTGCAGTTTGATCTGGTGTGGCCCTGCCTCTAATTTATTTATTTATTTAATTTATTAAATTTATATCCCTCCCTTCCCAGATGGGCTCAGGGCGGCTTCCAACAGCAGCAAGTGCCATAACAAACAGTTAAAACAGTATAAAACAATCCATAAATAAAATGCGGTGCTCTAGATATTAACTTATCTCTCCAAGATGGGATCCTTTTTTCACCTAGCCTGGCAACATAGTTTCTTGGTCACCTAGGCGTCTTCCCAGGGCTGGTTCACTTATAGATCTAATCCACCATCATAGATGGTAACTCGGTGGTGGCACAGTAACAAAGAATAGTGATCAGACTCACCCCCCTTAACACTCTTCAAAGCGTTTTCACCCTGTCCTTGAGCAATCAGATGCAGCAGCCAGGGAGTGGGGCCATCAGCATGTACACAAGCACTGATGAGCCTGCTGGGATATGTAGCTCACCGCCGTCCTCCCTCTCTAATCTTTTCTATTAACCCCTTCCCTGAAGCACAGAAAAAAGCTGAAGTACAGAGGCATCTTTCTTTGAAATGTTTATAAAGAAAACACAGTTTTGAGAGAAAGAGGTTCAAATATGCAGTTATGTGCACATCACTAACTAGTTTAAAAAAATGGTGGCTGGAAAACAAGAGACCGGTCAGACCTGCCTGAAAAGCTTGGGTGCAATCATACAACAAGAAATCCAGTTTGAATCCAGCTCAGCCCAAAAGGACTGGACTTTCGCAGGCATCAAAGAAACATGGAATAAAGGGGTGGGTGGGATGCAGACAACTGAGGCATGACAGACAGATGTTGCAGTCCGATCGTGCATTTTAAATCTGGAAGGGAATGACAACAGTTCAAACTGGATGTCTGATCGCAGCCCCTAAGAAGGTATTTTTCTCTCCTCATTAGTTTCCCCCTGTTCATTGATCTTGTTTTGTTTCCTGCAGGCTTGCTGAAATGGAAAGCCAGAATTCCTCTTTTTACAATGACAGCCTTTCTCCAGACGACAGCTTGTAAGTTCCAGCTGCTCTTTTTACGATTTCGGTAGAGATCTGGAAGCCCGGTTGAATTGAGGGGAGGGGGATAGGAAAACCCTAACATGTGAACAGAGGCTCAGCTGAATCAAGAGATTTAGGCACTGACCTCGTGGCCATTTAGAGGATCCCGGGACATCCCCCTCCCCTTCTTGTGGGCTGAGAAGAGTCCCACGTGTACATTCCCTACTGGCATTACTTTCCTTTAGATGGGGATGGGGGGAATGAGCACAAATGGCACATCAGCACATTTCATCACAAGGCTTATTCCTCCCAGTGATAAAAGCTAGAGGATTTTTATAGGGCATGTTGGGTGCATGTGCCGGTGGAAGAAGCGAGCAGCATGGAAACAAAGCTGTACATAGGTTCATGTCACCTGTATTTTTAATACGCACACTTCAGTTGTCTGCCAGATGGAGAAGAAAGGCATTTTCTCCCTGTCTCCTAGAATGTGAGGTAGGAAAGGCAACTGCTAACCTGCTGCTCCCAAAGGAACTAGCGCCTACACCTACAGTATGCATAGGTGTGCCTTGCAAAATCTGCCATAGGCACACATGCACAGTATCATAAGGAAACATGGATTGAAGAGCTTGGATTTGCTGTCACATGCAGCAGCAGAATAAGATAGAGTGGACGTGGCAAAGGCTTAGCAGGCCAGTGGCTTGAAGACATTTGGCGAGGCCAGTGGGGCGCAGGCATCGTTCAGTGGCAGAGCTGGGTACAGAATAGGATTACACTTAGCGTGACTGGCAAGACCCCTGTCTTACAACCTTGCTAGGCTGCCACCACTCAAAGTAGAGAGTTCTGGGCAAGGCAGCTTCCTGTGTTCACGCTGGGGAGGGTCAATAGATTGGGGTAAAACGCATGCTTAATATGCAGACGGTCTTATGCTGAGTCTACGGCATCTCATCTGAAAGGACCCATGAAGCTGCCTTATATAATGAATCACAGTGTTGGTCCATCAAGGTCAGTGTTGTCTACTCTGCTCGGCAGCACCTCTCCAGGGTCTCAGGTAGAGGTCTTTCACTCTAACTGGAGATGCCAGGGATTGAACCGGGGACCTTCTGCGTGCCAAGCAGATGTTGTGCCATTGAGCCACGGCCCTTCCCATTGCACAGCAGTTTCAGAAAGATCTCAGCCTGTAACCCCACAAAGCAGGCCAAGCAAACAGTACTGGGCTAAATGGGCCAGTAGTCTTACCAAAAAGCAGCTTTGCATGGTTAACATCAAGGCGTGCTTCCCAGGTGCTCTAGTTTTCCCCGCCGCCGTGTCCTTCTCCTGTGAGGGACTCCAGCTGTCCGCCTTAGAGCAGGAAAACCTGGCCTCCCTCCCGCAGCATCCCCCTCTGCTGCCTCAACCTCACCGCCGCTCTGCCTGCAACAGGGATGAAGATCAGTACCTTCTACGCCATTCCAGCCCCATCACGGACAGAGAGCCCGTCTCCAGCCAGCAGGCCCAAGACAGCTCCAGCACAGACGATAAAGGCGAACTGGAGAGAATCCTGGCCCATCTGGAAGATGAAAACAGGTGAGGGGGAGTAGCCAGCACGAGGAAGGTATGGTAAGAATCACAAGGATCTCTTTTTGTGATCTTCAAGGGTGGAAGGAGCAGAAGTTCCCAACAGTGCTTGTGAACTTAGCCTAGTTTGGGGGCTACTGGGAATGCAGCAGGAAGCCTGAACTTTGGGATGTCTGCACCAGTCTCCCGTGAATGGGTGTCCTCCCTTCAAGCACAAATCGTTAAGTGGCCAGGTGTCTGTGAACTGCCAAAGGCTGGCAAGTTTGCCACTTCCATTCAGCTCGATTTCTTCTGCAGGGTTCTCCAGGGAGAGCTGAAGCGTCTGAAATGGCAGCACGAGGAGGCGGCGGAGTCAGCAGAAGGAGCGCCGGAATCGGCACAGGATCCTCACAACGAAGAGCTGCTGGCAGAGGCCCGGATCCTTCGACAGCACAAGAGCCGCCTGGAGACCCGCATGCAGATCTTGGAAGACCACAACAAGCAGCTGGAGTCTCAGCTGCACCGGCTGAGGGAGCTGCTTCTGCAGGTATTTCCCGTAGGCCGAGTCACGCGACTGCTCTGGACCTGCTTGGGCCGCGGTGTAACTCAGCCTGCCTTCACTCCATAAACCAGCGGCTCTCAAACGATCTGCAGATCTTAACTCACCGCATCCTCACCCACAGAGCTGAGCTGCATACAGACCATTTCAAACAGATCAGTTTGTTCATGCTGAGAAAGTGTTGGTTTCAGATTCCCCCCCTTCTTCCCTTTATCTTAGGGTTGCCGGGTTGGGATAGTCCCGGAGAGTTTGGGGGTGGAGCCTGGGAAGGGGGAGGTTTGAGGAGGGTAGAGACCTGAGCAGGGTACCATGTCATAGAGTCCATCTTCCAAAACAGCCATTTGCTCCCAGGGAACTTTTATCTGTAACCTGGAAATCAGTTGTAATCCCATCCCAGGAGACCTCCAGCCACCACCCGAAGGTTGGCAACCCTGCTTTACCTGCACAGCTGAGGCACCATTCTCACAATACAAAATCCCCATGACCACAAGGAGGACTTTGTATCAGACTTGTGATGGGAGTTTGGTGCTTCACAGATGCATGCAGGCCCAGTTCTCACACCACAGCATACGGTCAGAACAGGCTTCAGCCTTCACCCCTGTTCCATTTTCATGTTCTGAAGCAGCCGTGGGAAGCCATTATTTTCTGTGGGAAAGTTACATAAATTATGTGGCTAGGTGTAATTTTTCCAGTGGAGCAAACAGCAGTTCGTGAGGGCCATTTCAGGCCATGAAAGCAGCATAGCAGAGAGATGGAAGCACTTTCGCCATGCATGACAGGCAAACAGAACCAGTTCTGCATACATCCTTGTGGTGGCTGCAAGGACTTTGCATTATGTGAATTGGCCCTGATACCAAAGGTCTCCTAGTTTAGGGAAGTTTTTGATGGAATCACAATTTGTTGTGATATCTGCATATAGAAACAGGAACAAATTGGGGTTCTCACCCGCACACTAGGATACTAATAACTCATGGTTTACTCCTGGTTTAGAATCCTGTTTTGTGGGAAAGAAGTACACTCCAGTTTGTCAAAGCAACTGAATCTCGACATTATAACAAACTATGGTCCAATCAAAGACTTTCTAAGCAAGGAAGCACACAATGGAGTGAGTTCCCAAGAATAAACTAAGCAGGTTCTTGTCCTGACCAAAACTGTGGTGGCCGGATACAACTTTGGTGAATTGCGTTGTTAAATCAATCATACAGTATCACGCTGCCAAAGACAATCTGAAAATGGTTGTGTCTTGAGAGAGGACAATGAAACGGGACGATACCGTCTATTCTGTTGCAGAACTGGAGGGAAAAAACTTGTCATATGCATTTGGAATTTGGCCTTTCATTTTCATGAAAACTTCCATTTTGAATCCAAAATTTCAATTTTTAATTTTTTTTAAATTAAAATTAAAATGAAACTAAGTCTTGGTGGCATATTTTATCTAAGGCAATCTTGTTAAATATTAACTTTATCAATCATGTACTTTACATTCTAGATTGCAAAAAAAATCTCAGTTGTTACTCGTAGAGAGGACTGCCCCCGTATGTGCCACTTCATAGCACACCATAAGTAGTAAAGACAGGTCCTGTCCCTGTGGCTCTTCCAATCTAAAGCTTGGCCACGGGAGAGACAGAAAAGGGAGGATCTGGTGTGGTACCAGGTTCAAATCCCTGTTCAGCCATGAAGTTTACTGGGTGACCTTGGGCCAGTAACAATCTTCTAAATCCTCTGAGGGGTCCAAGCCCACATACATCTCCATCGGCTATGTGGAGAAGGGGTAGCTAAGGAAGGGAAACAGGAAGGAGAAAGTCAAGCGTTACAAGGGATTATTCTATATATAGCCACTAACCAACCCTGACACTGCTGTTGTCCTTATGAGGTAGCAGGTGTGAAAGATGGGCTGGGGTAGTTGTGTCATTGGGGGAAAGCTAGAGGAACACTGACTGAGAAGCCGAGGAGGAACATCCTTCCTGTTTCTCTTCTCAGCCACCAGCAGATACCAAAGGAGATGGTTCTACTGCTTCATCCTTGGCGTCTTCTCCCCACCCATCGGAGGAGACTCAGGCCACGGAAAAAGACGCCAGCACGCCAAACACAGAAACAGCAGGTGAGGCTCCGTAGGGCTGCTGGGGTCCTTCTTGAATTTCTTATGCCTTTTATTGCCAAGCTGCTGAAGGCATTTTCACAGTACTGAACAAGACAGATTTTATGGGCCCTTGGCACAGGGCTCGCTGAATCAGTAACTGCAATTAAAAAACGGATTAGGCAGGTTGATTAAAGGTAAAGGTTCCCTTGCTCGAAAGCCCGTTGAATCCGACTCTAGGGTTGCAGTGCTCATCTCTGTTTCAAAGCCGAAGAGCCAGCGCTGTCCGTAGACGTTTCCGTGGTCATGTGGCCGGCATGACTAAACACCAAGGTGGACGGAACGCTGTTACCTTCCCACTGAAGTGGTACCTATTTATCTACTTGCAATTTCTTGCTTTCGAACTGCTATGTTGGCAGGAGCTGGAACTAGAGACGGGAGCTCACTCCATCATGTGGCACACCCGGGGTCTCGAACTGCTGAACTACTGACCTTCCACAGCCTGCAGTTCAGCATCTTAACCACTTGAGCCACCGCAGCTCCTACTAGGCAGATTGATTAGAATAGCTCTATTCTTTGTGCTCGACTAGTTTGTTCATCGCAATGTTTTGGAATTCTTCCGTCTGATTCTCTTCCCTGCTATGCTTACTATCTGACCTCACCTGGTCTTCTTAGGGCTTTTCTTCTCGCTAGAATGAATGCCCATTCAACGGGGGTTACGAGAGGCCGCTTTCTGCAACTTCCCTACTCTTTCTTGCTCCTTTGCTAAAATAGATACAGTTTCTCATTTTTTATTGGAGTGTCCTCTATATTATAACTTAAGGGGTAGTTTTATTCTAGCAAGGGTGGTGAGTTTCTATGACCCTAATCCAAGCAGGGTGGTCCCCTTCCTACTCTCAGACCAGAATCCTATTATATGAGTGATTAACACATGTAATTCACTGCCACAGGAGGTGGTGGCGGCTACAAGCATGGACGGCTTCAAAAGGGAATTAGATAAGCCTATGGAGCAGAGGTCCATCAGTGGCTATTAGCCACAAGGTATAGATAGGGACTCTGGGGCAAGTGATGCTCTGTCTTCTTGGTGCTTGGGGGAGGGGTCAACAGTGGGAGGGCTTCTAATGTCCTGGCCCCACTGGTGGACATCCTGATGGCACCTGGTATTTCTGGCCACTGTGTGATACAGAGTGTTGGATGGATGGGCCTTTGGCCTGATCCAACATTGGCATCTCTTATGTTCTTATGTTATGTTCTTAACTTTGGATGTTGCAGGGGGTTTTTTACTCCTTTTGTCTTTGGGAAAATATAGAGAGAGTATAAATGAAATTTCCCTGAACCATAGAGCTTTAATTGGACAAAGGAAAGGAACCCTCTGTCACAGCTCCTTTCTTCTTCCTCTTCCCAATTGCATGTGCCTTTCTACCCCCCTGTCCCCCAGTTGAAGCTTGGCTGGAGGATGATAGGTTTGAAAGCCCTTCCCTGCTGCTCAGGGTGAGATGCTGGGAGATCCATAATCAGAGCTCCTAATCTTTTTTTGGTATTTTTGCATTTGTGTGTGTGTGTGTGCGCGCGCGCTCCCGTGCCTGGAAGTCATGGCGACCTTTGGCGACTCCTACTGGGGCACAGAGGACATTCAGAAAAATGGCTTGATAGCCTGTCTCTGGCCTCCCGGCCCCGGTACTCTTTGGCGGTCTCCCATCCAAATACTTGCCAGGGTTGGCCCTGCTTAGCTTCCGAGATCTGACAAGATTGGGTTTGCCTGGGCTACCCAGGTCAGGGCCTCCTAATCCTTTTTTAATGCCATTATCAAGCACATGAGGGCCCGGTTCTGATTGAGATTGCGAGGGACATTTAAGCCTTTTCCCTGTGCTAGAAACAGTCCCAGGGAGCTAAAAGAAGTTACCTAAATATCTCCCAAGGAAGCTTGTTGGTTGAGATACAGATAACACTTGCCCTTCCTGCCAAGGAGAAAATCAGTTCAGCTGGGGCTTAATTTCTATAAGCAGAGGTTCTAAGGCTTCGCCTTCCCTGAAAAAATCTCTCGTCCACCATCAAGGCCTCTAGTCCCTACAGCCAGGCTGGAGGAGGGTGGTTGTGGTTATTCTCTGGAATGTGCCCTTTGCATATCCTCGGACATACCAAATTCTTTTTTTATTGTATCACCTGTTTGAGAACAGAACTGAAGGAGAGCAAATCTGAGGTCCAGCCACATACAGGCCTCTCAGCCCCTCTTAACTGAATTGCCTTCGACTGACAGAGGGTTTTGCCCCTTGAGGCGGCCAGGTTTCAGCCCTGTCCCGTGGCATTCGCGCAACCAGGTCACATGAACGTTGTTCTCTCGTCCTTTTTCTTTCCCTCAGACGAGGCGGAGGTGAGTACTCAGGACGTCAGCCTGTGTCTGGAGGATATCATGGAGAAGCTACGGAATGCTTTCCCCAGCTCTGGAGGTATAGTGCATGGAATCCTGTAGGTGTGTGCCCTTGGTTGGACTGCCACTCCACTTTGAGAGGAGGAGTAAGATATGACCTATCTATGGGCGCGGGGAGAAGAAAGAAGCAGGGGGTCAGCTGCACTTAGGGGGTCTCTGATCTCTCTGTCTCTCTCACACGCACACAACCACACACACAACACACATTCACTCACACTCACTCACCATGGTGTTTTCCACATTCACTCACACTCACTCACCATGGTGTTTTCCACAGGAGGACAAGCATGTGTCGTTTTCTCATTGCAGATAGCAAAGGGGGTTTCCACATGGCAGGTTTCTCTATAGTTTCCCTGCCCTAGTCCCCTGACAGCAGCAATTCCCAGTCCCTCAGCATCGCCAGGACTTTTTAATTTTTTTTTAATCAGCAACTTAATGGTGTTATATCCATATAATGCCATAACAATATGTGTAAGAGGTTCTCTGAATTCCCAGCTGCCATTTTAACAAGTAAGTCTCTAACCCCTTTTGTTGTGCCTTTCCCATTCTATCACACAACCTGTGTGGAAATGGCCCACGGTTAGAGCAAACTATGTGTGTTGGGAGCAGATCAAACTTTGTTCCTGTTGGCATGAATTAGGGGAAATAAAGTGAAATCATACATCTTCTCTCACTGTCCCAATCTAGGGCACCAGGTTTATACTACAGATACGTCCCAAGTATGTCAGTCATGGTGTCACCCAAGGAACCCTGGGTAATTAAGTAGTGAATTCTTTGTTGCCTAGCCCCTCTCAGATTCCTCGGCAGAAAGCTATAGACAAAATGCTTTCCGAGTTTGTGATTTAGTCATGACCAAGAGTCACATCCCCCTTTTCTTCTGACAGGGCAAAGACCACACCCTCTGGCCTTCCTGAAGAAGTCTTTCAAGTTCTCCTAGATGCTTTTAAAGCTCTGAAAATGGGCAGCAAGCTGGTATTAGCCGTTGTGTTAAAACTTGCTTCTTGCCTGGCTGTTTACAAAATCGGTGTCTGGCATTCCAAACCTCTAACCTTATGTTGACTGCTTTGTCAGTGTATTGGTATTAATCCAGCAGGTGCAAATGCAAAAGCGTTCTGTTTGTCCTCAAAGGCATGATAGACCCTAATTTTTCTGTGTATTGTTAGAGAACAAAAATTACTATCAGGAAAAACACTAAGGAAAGACAATGAGAGACGTTTTTGTGTTTGAACACATTATGTTTCAGCAGCACTTACTTTGGGATACATTAGGATTACCCCCAGGATATTGCCCCCTGAGTTGAGCTACAGTTACCCTTTGGTAGAGGACATCATACGTGCATACAAAGCTAATGTTATCTGTGCAAAAGAAGCATCGTGGGAGTGTGTCTTCTTGTGTTCAAATGTAGCATTTTCTCTCCAGGGTTGAATTCATGAAAAAACAATTTTGTGAGTTTGCAGCCTAAAATGGCTTTGCACAGTGCTGATTGGCTGGTGCTTGTAATGTCATGAATCCCACACTCATGAATGCATAAAGCTGCCTTATCCTGAATCTGACCTCTGGTCCATCAAAGTCAGTATTGTTTACAGTATTGTGTCCAAGGTCACATATCACTTCCTACCCAATCCTTTTAGCTGGAGATGCGGGGACCTTCTGCATGCAAAGCAGGTGCTCCCCCACTGAGCCACACTAGCTCCCCATCACTCCATCATCGCCAAAGAGGTTTCATGAATCCTCTCTTGATTACTTATTAATTTCTACAGTCTTTATTCATTTGGAGGTAGGCTTAGTCTCTTGTGTCGTGTGCATGCGGGTTAAAAGTACACTATTTCCATTGTTTCTGAGATAATCAAAACGGTGAAACAAAAAAAGTTGGAAAAAGTCTTTTTATTGTCATCTTTGCATGGGATTCTAAAATAGCTAGATGTGAACAAATTCAGGGGGGAAACATAATCAAAGATTCTGACGAGGTCTGTTCTGCGAAGATCAGCAAATAAGTCAACCTGTATGTAAGCTGATTTAACATGTATAATTGCTGTTATTGCTAAGGCACAGTGTCTGAGCTTTTGTGAGAGCTACTAATGTTAATACTAAAAACTAAGATGAGTGCACAACTGGGCAGTAATTGTGCAAGTTACAAGCATAATTATTGGACAGGGTGGATAATACCCATCATTTAAACTACCTAAAAACCCATCTACGTCTTCACCAGAAAACCCTTTCCTTCTCTGAATTGAATCTGGTGAAGATTGCAATCCAAGACGCCATTGCTAATTTCACTGTATGTGATCCTCTTCTGCTTTCCCTTTCAGGTCCTACCTCACTAATCTAACACCTTCTACAAGCAACAAGAGGCTTTGTTTAACTGGTTCATTGACAACCACTCTTCTCCTCTGACCTCCGTTCTTTCCCCTGTGGTAGGCTTCACTCGGATCCTTACGGGGGCACTTTCTGTAGAACGTCACTGGAATCCTCACAGGCTACAGCTCTCGGGAGAGTACTCCTTGGTTACTCCAGAGGGCTTGTTTGAAGGGAAGACCAGAAATGCTTAAAGTTCAGTCAAGATGACAGAAGCCTGAGTTCAAGGAACTCTGACAGGAGAAAGTGAAGAGTACACGGAGGAGCCTTTCTGCACAACCACAAACTGACAGGAATCGCATTTTTCTCCCTTCAGTCTGTGAACTTTTGTGTGCCCAATTTGGGTTGAGTCAGGAAGTGGCTCTCGGCGGATGTCGTCCAAAGTGAATGGCCTGCAGGCTTCACCAGGCGGCCATTTTGATAGCAGGGGACAGGGTCTCACGGTGACTAACAGCTACGAATCTTTTTTAAAAAATCAACTTTTTTAAATAAGAAAAGAAAGAAAATTCTGTTTAGGGTTGGGTACATTGTGAAAGGAACTTAAAAGGGATTGTGTGTCACTGTTATCAACTGAATTCATTAGGAAAAGCTACCCAGAGCAAATCCTATAAGAACAGAAAGTGAGGGAGGTGGCAGGTTTTAAAACACACAGTTCCAGTGGCAGTAGCAGCATCACAGGACAGAAGCTTTTATAACAAGAGAGCCTTATTGTATTAATTTGCATATTTATAAATATATATAATTTATATATATATAAATACGTATTATACATACTGTATTTAAGTGCTGTCATGGACTCCCTCTTGCATTAAATTCTAATTCCTCGTTCTGTGTTTCAGTCTGCCTCACCGCTGTGGTCTGCTTCAGGCTCTTGTTGTTGTGAATGAGAGGCAAATCCCCTTCTCTCACCTGCCCCGGCAGATTTTTCAAAGAGGCTAGATTTTTTCTGTGCTTCCTTTTGGAGTTGGAATGATCTCTGTCCAAGGGACGTCCGGAGAACAGGGATAACTTGGAGCTTGGCCTCTGCCTCCCTATATGGTTTGTTTATATTTTGTGAAGTGGGCTGCAGTCCCCCATCATTGGTTCAGATATGAGATGCGCATGACTAGTGGCCACACACTTCTGGCACAGCGTTGTGTACTGATGGGCTGGGGCCATAGATCAGAGCATATCCTTTGCCTGATGAGGTCCCAACGTCCATCCAGTTAAAGGGATCACAGGTGGTAGGTGGTAGGAAGGACCTTGCTGTGGCTGAAGACCACCTGCTGAGCCAAGTGACCAGTCACCTGCCCTGTTATAAGGCCATAGAGTTTTCAAGGCAAGAGACGAACAGAGGTGATTTGCTGGTGCCCATCTCCTTAGTGATGTCCCATCCAAGTACTACCCAGGTCCAATGCTGCTTAGAGTCTGAGATCTGATAAGATCTGGCTAGCCTGGGCCATCCAGGTGAGGGCTATATTGATGTACCAAGATATTTATTGTACCAGTTAAGTGACAGTGGAAGGAAACACACTAAGGAATGCTCAGCTGCAGGGGCATGAAAGCACAGAGCCCTCGTTAGTGATGCAATGGGTAGAGTGCCTTCTCTTATGATGGAAAATTAGCAAGCTCTCCTGTTTCCACCAGGCAAGCTGCAGTTGTACAGTAGGGCTGATTGGGAACCCTTGCCTCTTACTGGGCCTTCGGTTAGGCTGAACTCCTTCCATTTCAGCCAGCTTGGTTGCACTGGAATAACTAAACATGGATTTAGCTTGGATTAAATCAGCTTCGACTGATGCAACCTAACTGTAGTGGCTCAAGCAGCCCTGCCTCATGGTGGATACCGCCATGAAGTAAGCAGGCAAATGGGTGGAAACGGTGTCTCCCCCATTTCTCTGGCTGAGAAAGGAAGGAAGGTGGAACACTGGGGTCTCTGTGGCTTACAGCAAGGCCAACAGAGTCGCCCCATCATTTTAGCTGTGCACTGAATTTGGGCATGACAACATCGTACCGGATCAGTGGGAAGTTTTGATGCAAGTCGGATGCACCACCACCTCCACTCTACCTAGGAAATAAGTCCTTGTTTGATCAAAACTGATGTGGATGTGAGACATCCTGTGGCCACTGGTGAAGGGCCAAGGCCTGTCCCCTTTCCCCCCTTTCATCCTACTCCTGTGCTTCTCATAACAGAAACACAGGCTGCATTTGAAAATCATGGGCTGCTTATCCTAGGTGGTGCATGTCAGAGGTGATGCCCTCTCTTTTTTTAATGGTTGCTGCACCCAAACTATGAGGAGAAGCTGGCCAGAGATAAGTGCTTCTTTACTAATCAGAAAGATGCCGTTGACAGCTAGGTCCACTGGGGAGTGCTTGTGGGCCAGATGCAGTCCATAGGCCAGCCAGTTCCCAACCAGCAGTTAAATCCAGCATGTGAAAACATGGTTGACTCCAGATGGTATGGAATAATGGAGTTAATCTAAAATAATATTCTAGGGCCAGAGTACAGTTTTCTCTCATGCAGTTCTAGAATGGAAGAACTGGAATGCTCCCAGGTGTATCTGAGCTCTAATGTTATCCATAGTCTAGAGCCACAGTTGGAAGGAAAATGGACATAAATGCCCTTATCGCCCATACTGCAATTAGTGTTCAGGCACCAGGTTGACACATTAGGACCAATTGTAAGACCAGGTGGCATAGGGTTGTGCTATGCATCTCCTGTTTAAACAGAAAGCACATATTACTATGGATGCCAGCCTCCAGGTGGGACCTGGGGATCCCCTGGAATTCCTGCTCGTCTCCAGACTACAGAGATAACCTCCCATGGAGAAAATTGGTGCTTTGGATGGTGGACTCTATGGCATTGTACCTCACTGAGGTCCCTGTTCTCCCCAGGGTCCACCCCCAAATCTCCAGGAGTTTTTCAACCTGGACCTGGCAAACTTACTCCCCTGCCAATGGTCGGGGGGGCGGGGACCTGGCGACCCTGTGAGTTACACTTCCTTTCTTTCTTGTCAAGAATGTGACATATTCAACAGGTAGATGTGGTCTAATGAGCTCAGGATTTCACCTGAAGTTTGATGCTGGAGATCAACTAGATCTACCATTCTGGGGCCTTCAAAGTTGGCATTCTAGAGAAGTTCTCTCTCTCTTTTTAATAGCTTTATTAAAGCTAGAGAAGTTCTCTCTCTCTCTCTCTCTCTCTCTTTTTAATAGCTTTATTAAAGATGAAAAACTACAATACAACCAGAAACATGAAGTTCTCTTTTGAGGGACATGTGTGACTGACTCCTAACAGAAAGGAGCTTATGACTGTCGAATCATTCTTGGTGGGTGAGTTGTACCATGATATTTCATGTTGTGGACTAAAGGGACAACTTATGGGTAAGGCTGCAGTACAGCATGGTGGACTGTCATATACAGCACAAAGCAAAATTGAAGGAAAGATGGGCTACAGAACCTGGTTTGATCTCAAGTGTGTCCGAAGCTCTGCAGATTGCTGATTTGTAATCACGTTTGTCATAGGCTCTGTGAACATTGTGTGTTTGTGGTGAAGGGCCGCTAGTTTGAAAATGTGAAAAGGATTATTGTGAAATCCGAGGCCTGCCTCTGCTGGAGAGTTCCAGCACTGCAAAAATAAAGGTGATCCCTTAAAAATGCAAGTTATGTAACCTCGGTTCAGGGTTGGTATTGTGGTGGGTCGTGAGAGCAGCTTGCCAGTTCTCCTAGTAGCCTTGTGGATTGTCAGGAATGTTCCGTATGTTGAAAGCACTGTAGGTTGCAAAGGTTGTTGTTGCATGTCGTGTTGCAAATTGTGCGTGGGTTGCGTTACTAGATTGCGGCAGCATGTTGTCTGTTGAGCATTTGGGGGGGGGACTCAAGTAGAGAGGAAATGGTGGAGTTGGCTGATCTGTGAAGATATTATTATTTTCAAAGACCATCTGGATTGCTGGCCCCCCAAGCTACCCTGCCCGAGGCTGATAAAGAACATTCTGTTAAAATGTATAGCAATGGTGGATCTTTAGCCTGTGCCAAGAATGCTTTGCGTGGGCACGCATCAAGTTCCTCCTGCCAGGCGCATGCTCTGTTGAGTTTGAAATTGGAGCCTTGGGGAGGAAAACCTGCAGAAATACTAGTAGAACCTATTTCTGTATTTTTATTTATTCATTCAAACCTTGAGGGTCTCTTAGCTTTGGATCCTGATTAAATTCCAGGTTATCAAGCCAATAGTACAATTGGCTGTGCTCTGGCTGGTTGCACAAGAAGTGCTTAGAGGAAACAATGTGCTTCTTCTTTTTCACATCTGGAGTAATGAGCACTTTCTCCAGCGAAAGAGGTGCGGGCCATGCCCAGATCAGGTATTCATACATTGCAGGAAGAATACATCATGGGACATGAAACGGTGGCATCATAGGGATGAAGACATGTTAGCCCCACAAGACTAGCATGCAGATCAGCAACAAATCCACACTCAGGGTGTCCAGATACTCCGGAGGGCAACGCTCTTAACCTTTCACAGCAGAGGCATGTCATACAGGCACAAGAAAATCAACACCAATGAAATTCTCTCTTCCCAAGCTTTCCTTGTGCCTGCAATGCATATGGCAATCCCAACTGTTTTTTTATTATTAATGGCTTTCCCCCAAAGAATCCTGGGAAATTTTGTCATGTGACAGCAATAAGGATTCCTTCTTGCTGCTCCCAACTTCCTTTGCAGAACTACAGTTCCCCACACGGTGGGTTCAACCCAGTTAAGTAGATTTGATAGTGGTTTAATTTTGTAGTGTACCTAGCATTTTTAAAAGGCTGGGCATCATCAGCCTTCCCTTTTTTGCTACGATAGCTTGTCCTCCTAGCCAAATACCACAGAGATTTGCCTTACCCAGATGACAAGAACCCCTCTTGAATTCCTGCGCGGGAGCACTGAGGCTTCCTCCATCGGCTGAAAAAGTTGCACAAGGGCAGTACTGGCCACAGAACATGTCAGGAAGCAGCGTGGGTTTTATTTTGATCTCTTTCTTCCATGCTGTGAAGAGTGGACTTGTCTTTTATTCGTTGCTTTTAACTGTCATACAAAAGTTTAAAACGGGCATGTCTACTGAACAGCTTCCAAGGGTTGGCATTCGGCAAACACACCAACGTTGTGATAAAACCAATGAGGAAAAGCACAAGTCTTTTGCCTCCCCCTCCTTCCAAA